TATCCAGTAAGTACTTACCAAGTAAGTGTTTAGTAAACAGCCCCTTAGTCATTCCTATCCCGAGTTCATCCAAATGTCATGTCTGTAATATCCACATCTGTAATATTACGGACCTGACTAAAAAATTCAAATTCCAACATGTTAGTAAGTGGCACCGTCGCAATACGGACCTGGCCGTGGAAACTACGTACCTATGTTGAATTTGATATTTCTTTCCTATCTTTTAGCCAGCTCTGTAACATTGTAGATATGGATATTACAGACATAATGACATTTGAATCAATTTTCTAGAAGATACCATTGGAGGTTTAAACGAAGAGAAGAGACTTCAAAAATACATGATGTTTATCTAAAGTTTGCCACGTGGTCAAGAAGTGGGGTCCAAGGCATAAGGTACACAATACAATAACAAGGTGTAACGTATGGCAAAAGAAAGGGGCGATGTATGGAAAAAATAGGTTTCAGAATGACCCACTTTCTTTATTATTTTCAACTAGAAGGGTACTTATACAATGCAGTGAGATAAATCTCGATTTTAATGTTTAATTTTTATTTTGTCTTTATCGATATAATACGATTTTGTGTGGTTTTAAGAAAGCGATAATGTTTTTATTTTTGAATGAAATATAAATTTAAAAAATATATATCAATATTAGTATCAAATTAACTATTGAATAATTCTCGTTTTTGTGGTGTACCTTCTTTAATTCAATTTTTTTTATTATAATTTAATTTAGATTTAATAACAAAGTAATTTAATTTTGATTTAATAATATAATTTTTTATAAAGATAATAATTAAACATTATGTTAGAACTCAATGATTATCTTAATTATATTTTAGATTTTATATATTTAAAATGGATGTTTATTCTGTATTTGATTATGCTTATCTGCAGTTAGTTACACGAATTTAAAAATGAAGCTTTAATAAGTTGTACTTACGCAAAATTACTTGTAATCTTGAATTTCAAGTAATATGCATCAATAAACAATATTGCATGCATAAAAAATGATTTTTAAGAGTTTTTGTCAAATGCTTTATAATATAGTATAGATAAATATGATCATAAATCTTTGTTGTTTCAAAATTCTTTTATTTTCTTTTTATTCACCAATCATGTTTTTTCAAGACAAAGATTTACCCAAAAACATCCAAATAAGCAACACATATCGAAGAACAAAGTGTCAAATATGATCAAAGCTCTAAGGTGCATTAAGGAAACAAAAGTTGTCACGTTCATCCAAAACTATGTTGATCCATAATTCGACCCTGAGATGCTCGCCACAAAATATATATTAATTTTTTTAATCACCATTTAGTTCCATTGCAATATCGGGGGGATGCCACCAGTTTGGAGCCACCTGTCCTCCATTCGGGTCTTCAGAGACTTGATAGAAAACTTCCTATTGTCATCTAAACTCCACCACTTTGTCCTTGCGGTTCTGCGAAGGCTTCGAGATTGCAATAAAGATAGGAAATTTGTAAGTTCACATGAAGTCCGACCTCTGGGGTCTCTAGTCTGGTCCCAAGACCATTCCTAACCACCATCAGACCAACGACCCCTATTTCAAACCAAAAATTTTCTATACGATTTCAAACTAAATAATCTTGGTAACTTTCACATGGTCGGGTGTCACCTACCCAGTGATCCAGCCAAAAGCATACACTTGATTGTCCCAAGCTTTTTAACAAATGATGAGGTGAAATGCAAACCAAGAGCATCTATCTCTCGACCTACATAAATGATACTTTCCTACGGACCTCCTGTGCGATTAGAGCTGCCCCTTCCTTCTCGACCCAATCCTCCCTCGATGTTTTTTTGATCAAGAAGCGCCACCACCATTTCCCTAATAATGCCAATATCATTTCTTTTAGAATCCCTATCCCCAACCCGCCCCCCGCCCCCTTTTCAAAGAGGAGTTAGAGTTGTCTTCCACCTAAACCAAGACATCTTTCCCCCACCCAAGACACCCTAGAAAAACTCTCTTCTCACTCTCTCGAGTGTGTTTAAATACTCATGGGCACACAGAACAATGAGAAAGAAATACAACAGCAAACTCCCAAGAACCGATTTGACTAGGGTTAGCCGACCATCGAAGGACAACGTTTTAGCTTTCCAGATTGCCAATCGATTAGAAAACTTTTTCGTCACTGATTGCCATTGTGAAACCTGCCTCATATTTGCACCAACCACAAAGTGGAGATAACTTGCTTTACACCCCATCCATCTTTTCGTATTTTACACATCACTCAACGATACCCCAATACCAAAAAGTCTACTTTTATTTTAGATTTGGTTTTAGGTCGGATGCCATTTGGAAGCATTTGAGGATGGCTAATAAGTTCCTAACATTTATCTGCGACCATTCTCCAAGAAACATAGTGTATTCTGCAACATTTGCTTGCAAACCACCATTTGTCTGTAGAAGGAAGATCGAATTGATACTATCAAACGCTTTTTCAAAATCCATTTTAAAGGTGAAGTTGCTCCCCTTTCAATTCTTGATGAATTCCACGGTCATTGGCAAATTAAGACCTCGTTAAGGATGTAACAGCCTTTGATGAAAGCATTTTATATCACCCAGATGATTTTCCCAATGACTTTTTTAACCCGTTCTGCGAGGATTTTAGCAATGATTTTGTAATAACATCCAATGAGGCTGATTGGGCGATAATCACGCAGTTGAATCAGGTCAACTACCACTGGAGTTAAAGTCACGAAAGAGCGGTTGCAACTATTACTGATTGAGATCGTAGATCAGAACTAATTGATGGCTTGTATAAAATCTTTTTGACAACGCCCCAAAACATTTTTATGAACTTGAAATTACTTCCTAAATAACCGGGATGGCACATAAGCCTAATACTTCAAAATCGTACATGTGTCGACTTTCCAAACTGAAATCTTGAAAATCAAAATCAACCACAAGTCGGGTCATCAGATACTTCAATTCTCGAGGACTCTTTTAGTCATCAAATACAACACCTTTCACAAAAAAGGGTTTTAAATACACAGTTCTAATGAGTTCAAGGTTTTTCAAGTACAAGACTCGACACTCATGTCAATTGGCAATTTTAAAATATTTACTGAACATAAAATCCTTATAACAATCCTACGCATGCATAAAAATTACTACCACTTACTGGGTAGTCGTGTGAAGTGGTCAAAAATACCACACACATAAAATGGGGTAGTTAAGATGCATTTCTGCTTGCCCAAAACACTGATGACAACCAACGAAAATACAAAGAACAAACCAATCCAAATGGACCGTATTTGTCTCAACATACACTAACTCACGCTGTGTATGTAAATCAATTCACGCACCAAAACAATGTGCAACAAAACTCACTGGTACAAAACTCGAGGGAAAGTTATACAACTAAATGCTATAAAAAAGTTTCGTTTCTGACAATAAAATCACATAAGATAAAAGTCTCAATAAAATTGTATATGAAAACACACGCAACATAGCAAGCTTATGTATTTCAAAGTTCCCGCTTAAGCCGCAAAACAAGGGGAAATAGAATTCCAATAAAACTTTGCATACAAACTGCAGTCGAGTGATCTCGTTTATTTAAAATTTGACCCAAGTTTCTCCTATGCGTCAAATTATAATTCAAAATGTGAAGTATCTCAAGCACATTGCAGTTTGGTAAAGCATAAAATGATCTGTGTCGGTTTTAAATCTAAGGCTACCCAACAATACGCGTTTAACGTTGCATTAATACTGCCAAAACAACGTGAAGAAATTCCAATAAAAGTTTGTTTGCAAATCATAGCAATAAAACAATTCAAGAGCTTTAAGGTGATAATCTACAACAAAGTCGATTAACCTTACAATTTCTTCCCAAAATAATGATGATTCAACAAGCCTAAATTCAAACTTAGGGGCCGTTTACCAAACGCTTACCCGGGTAAGCACTTACCAAGTCACATTAGTTTACCAGATGAATATGGTAAGGACCAAGAATCTTACCCAGTAAGAGCGAGACAAGGACAAGAGTCTTACCCGACAAGTGAGAGCGACGACTCTTTCCATGGTAAGCGCTTACAGGACAAATTGTTGTATGCGATTACTTTTGATGGACTAAAATCTTGTCTGGTAAGTAATTGATAATGTTGAAATTTACTGATAAATGGTTACTGGGTAAGTGTTTGGTAAACGGCCCCTTAGTCAATATCTCTGACCCACAATGGTGGGCCTAAGAAAATCACCATACTTAATTGTCACCCAAAGTGACAATGCTACAAATATCAGCTCTTCAAACAGTTATTCACTGGGAATACACTCACTACCCCATCGATCATTACATACAGGATATCTAAGCATACACATATGTAACTGTAAATTCATGATAACACTAGCCAGGAACTTAATGAATGTACCATTCCTTAATTGCAACCATCATCGTGATTATCGATACTACTGTCTCTACTGACCTCCAAGTAAACAAATTTCAAGAAAAAAAATAAGATACATGAAAAAATGATTCTTTAATTTGTAAAACTCGATCTCAATTGAAATTTTATAAGATACTAAATATATTATTATCTTTTCTCAAAATTGTGATTATAACAATATGGAAAGGTTCAAATAAGAAAGACAAATTATAATAACGTAAGGATAAACGATTTATATGTAAATCATTAGTAACAAGAAACGTGAGTTCTTATACATTTTGAAATGAACTTGGGATCACGTGAGAACAGCCTGTTTTCGTGAGACCCCCAAGACCATTTTTTTACACTTGAAACTTTACAGCAAAACGCTGTGAAGGTTCGGCTTTTTTACCTTCACAACATTTTGCTGTAAAGTTTCAAGTATGAAAAAAGATCTTACAGGTCTCACGAAAACATACTGGTCTCACATGAACCCAACTCTTTTGAAATGGACCAGAAATTTGATTGAAAAAAAGGTGGAGTAACCATTATGTGGAATAAAGTGCCAGTAAAAGTGAGAATTGCAAGTAAAGCACAACAACGAAGTGGTTTACACGTATTTGGAGGTGTGGTAAATTAATACCATCACACCATTAATTATTTGGGGTTTTAATATTATGATGTTTGTCACATGATTTTAGGTAACAAAATTTGGCTCAACAAAACTCCATTCCATCGACTACAACCAACAACGATTTGTGATTAATCAATCATATTTGGCTGGAGTCCCTGCCAAAGATGAAACGTCTCATCCAGTCGGACACCACCAACGACCGTGTGCGCCAACTCACTTGCTTGCTGTTCCGATGAAAAAATAAGAACCGATAAGTTAACCGTTAACTGAAAAAAATAAGTGCGATAAGGTCATGATTGATGTTACCTTGCATAGACAGAATACCAGAGCCATTGAGTGCTGTGGCCAATGGAAACCCAATCCCCAGGGAGTTGTGCTGCTGTTTGCTCTCCACCTAATGGAGCAAATTGACCAAGATGCTTGTATCTACACAACCAGTGAACCAACACTCTTTCAGTAAGATCATAAACCCTTTTAATTTCAACATCTTAGAATTATTTCTACCTGAAAGGACGGAACCTATGTCGTCCTGACTCTCTGAAACGCAGAGGACCTTCAGGTTGTTTCTCACACTCTTCCATACGGTTGAAACAATCCGCAAGGTACGTGCCCTGCTGGGCTGCAACCTGCAAACCAGTTACTGTGATTTAGGCTATGTTTGCAAAACTAAAATTCTTAATTTGCCAAATTTGGCATATGATTTAGACCATGTTTGGAAACCTAGTTGATAATTTAACTGTTGGCACCAAAAGGTTACTGACCCAGATTACTAGCTTTCTAAGAAATTAAGGGTTCAAGTGTTACAAAAAAATGATGAGTATGTGTGGGTTTTGGCGTATATTCAAAAAAGTTTAGTCATGCTTGGTGTGTGGGTTTTGGCGTATATTCAAAAAAGTTTAGTCATGCTTGGATAAATATAGCTGATAAGTCATACAACAATGTAAAATGAGCTAAAATGACGTTAACAAAAAGATATAAGGGACATGAATTGGAAAAAACCCATTATGATGGCTAACCAAACGGAACTTTCAAAATAAGCTCAAAAATTGAAGTAGCTTTTATGGTGGCCAAACATGGCCTTAATTCATACCTGGGCAGTTGCCGGAAGATTCTTCATCTGAGAATCTACTTGAGATAGAGCTGATTTAAGTTCTTCGACGTTGAGTTCAATGGATTCTCTTGCAACATCACCCTTGGATTCCTTCATCAAATCAACAAGGCTGCTCATCTTCTTGTTTTTTAGATAAAGTTGCACTTGAGGATATCTGACACAAATATCGTCCAGTGTTTCTTGGAATTCTTTAACAGTAAGTGTTCCAGAGTTGTCCTTGTCCGCCTTTTTAAATATAGACGAAATATCCTCCTGGAAACGATCCAAAGTACAAGTGAAAAGCTAGCGCAAGCACCTTTCAATGTTTATTAAATCAACATGTTGTCGGACGGACACCTTTGGCCCCCTTTGGGTTTTAAATCCAAATGATAGATGTCTATTATAATATAACACCATTTTCTTAGGGTCTCATCCTATATATACCCATATAAGCTTTGTAAAAATATATGAAATCCCATTAAATTACTTTTAAAAAAAAACACGATAATAGAGAAGGGAGGTTCCAACATATATTGAGGAGAAATTGTCAAATTTAGCAACAGAGGCTAGAGAAGTTCGGAATATACGAGAGTGCTAAGAGGGTGTTAGACAAATGTCCGAGGGTGTCGAGTCTCTAGATTGGTAGAACTTGACTCTGATCCATGCGAGAATATATGAAACCCCTTTTTATTAGTATCTAAAATAGCCCTTGAGAAGGGGAGAAATTCCAACATATATTTTGGAGAAATGATCCAAGTCTATCAAGATCACTTGTAACATCCACAATATAAATTTAACCAAAACAAATACGATCTTATGCTTTTAACTCAGATAATCATACCCTTACGTTTAATGCTATGATATAATGTTCAAGTTAAAGAATAAATGTACCATGACTCTGCGCTGGTTTATTGTGGCACAATCGCCAAGTGCATATATGCTGTTGGTCCCTTCAACTCGAAGCCATTCATCAGTAGCTAACACACGTCGATTCGCCTATGCAGCAAGAGATATGCCTCTTAATAAAAACAATGGTTGAAAACAATAAATTCCAAACTCAATGATTAAAGTAGAGAAAAATACCTGGCCAATTTGCTTCATGAAATCCATGACAACAGGACGAGTTGCAATGCCTGTTGACCACACTGCCATCCCATAAGGTATAGTAGAGATCTCCCCGGTTTTTATCTCTTTGGTTGAAATTTCTTTATCTGAGACCTTCACCACCATTGCTCCTGTTTTCAAATCGATACCATCTCTGTGGAACTTTTCTTCTGCGAAAGTGGTGATTCTTTTGTCAAACCTGCAAGACATGAGCATGTAATTGCATAAGCAAAGAAGCTCAATTATTTTTTGAACTTATTGAAAAAAAACCATTTGTTAAGCCATAATCCAGCTTTTTGATAAGATACTTTAGATGGCTTATTGAGGCTTTTTTCATGTTTTTTAATTATGTTCCTTATATATTCAATTTTTGTTATTTTATATTGTTATGTATCTTATCGGCTAGTTTTTACCAAAAATCACTAATTTATCGGCTAATAGCTAGCTTTTTAGCCAACTAACTTTTCAACTACCACCTAGCTTATCAACAACACATTATCACCTAGTTTGTCAAACATAGCTATATATATATATATATATATAGAGAGAGAGAGAGAGAGGAGCGATCAAATACAAACCACCTAATTTGTACAAACCGTGTAAACCTCATTCAACCAATCATATTTTTTCATTTTGTTCATTTTTTTGTAATTATGAGAGGTTGATTAATCATTTTTATTGTGGATGATGTTAATCATGGATATTATCATCTTTATTATTTAATTTTAGAGAAATACATGAAACAGTTTCATTAAAATTTCATTAAGTATTATATGAAATAATTTCATAACCATATATGAAACAACTTCATAAAAAAAAGTATTATATGAAACAATTTCACAAGATCAAACAATTTCATGAAAAATTTTCATAAGATTAAATAATGAAATCGACAGATAATGGTGGTTTGCACGGTTTGTACAAATTAGGTGGTTTGCATTTGATTGCTCATCTCTCTCTCTCTCCCTCTCTCTCTCTCTCTCTCTCTCTATATATATATATATATATATATATATATATATACTAGAAGAGTACTCGTACAATGCAGCAAGATACATCTTGATTTTGATGTTTCGTTTCATATTTTGGTTCTATCAATATTATAATGCAATTTTATGTGGTTTTACGAAAACGAACATGTTTTTGTTTTTGAAAGAAATATAAATTTGAAGATATTATAAAATTTTGAAAAAAAATAACAATATTAGTATCAAATTAACTATTTAAAAGTTCTCGTTTTGTGTAATTTCTTTAATTTAATTCTTTATTATAATTTAATTGAAGTTTAAAAAGGACCAACTTATTTTTTATTTAATAAAAATAATTTTTTTAAGATAATAATTAAGTAGTTTGTTAGAACTCAATGATTATCTTAATTATATTTTAGATTTTTTATATTTAAAATGATGTTTATCATATATTTGATTATGTTTATCTACAGTCAGTTACATAATTTCAAACATGAAGCCTTAATAAGATGAACTCATGCACATTTACTTGTAATATTGAATTTTAAGTAATATGTATCAATAAACAGTACTTTATGTATAAAAATTTGTTTTTAATAGTTTTAGTCAAATACTTTATAATATAGTATAGATATATATATGGAAGGTGAGCATCATCCTACTAAATACCCCAAGTGAAATGAACTAATGAGATCAAGATAATTTGAACTCACAAGCGTAACTACCATGCTCTGTAAGAAGTTTGATGTTTCATCGAAAAAAAGCAATAAGGGGGTTGGAGAGCCAAATCTTACATGTTCAGAATATGGTCAGTTGCCTCCAGAAGTGATATTTTGACCAAATCTTTAACCGCGGGGTACAATTTCACCAAATCCTCGGACACAAAATCATGAAGCTCGGCTGCAAACTCCACACCGGTTGGACCACCACCGACAACAACAAACTGAAGCATCCTTTTTCTCTCATCATCACTCATATCAGGTAGGCTTGCCTTTTCGAAGCAATCAATTACCCTCCTCCGAATCTTTTGAGCATCTTCAACTTCCTGAATTAGTTAGTTAGGAATATAATCAGACCAACATAGCCAACAATTTATAGACATGTCAAGTTTCTTTCCAAGAACTATCATGTGGGAAGTTTAGACATTGTTCAATTCCCCCCATGAGATTAGTCCACGTGCACGCCAAAAACCATCTATCATGTGAAGGTAAGTGAAGTTCATGGGGATTCTTGAAGAAGGTTGTAAGTCTGCACATGAGTTGAGGTTGTGTTATATGAGTGATCAGTTACCTTCAAGTAGAGGCAGTTCTCTTCAACGCCAGGAGTGTTAAACGTATTCACACGGGCTCCCATGGCAACAACCAGGTAATCATAATCAACAACAAATTCTTCCTTTACGTCTTGAGTTGAACGGCAGTAAACTTGCTTATTTTTCGCATCAATCCTAAGACATTCAGCTTCCCAGAAATTAACATTTACTTTCTTCTGGTACAGATAAAACAGGCATTCATAAGTCACAAGTAAGGAATGTGGAAAATATTTAATGAATTATGGAAGCAGGTGCAATGTCAAAGTAAGGATACTCCAATTCAATGACTAATGAATTTGTACTATGTAGAGATGCGACTTAGTGAAGGCCTTGGATAAACCACCTCAAATTACCTTTTTGACAATGTTGCGAATTGGTTCGACAATGCTGCGAGCTTCCACGGTGCCAACGGTTACACTTGGTAGTAAAGGTGTGAATGCAAAGTAATTCCTAGGTGAGATCACTTGGACATCGTACGACGGATTCTTCAAATTCTTCAAGAAGCTTGTTCCGGCCCAACCAGTTCCAAGTACCACCACCCTCTTTTTCTGGTTACCCGCCTCGGGTAATTCATCAATCTTTGCACCATTTTGTATGTTTGCCTCAGAATAAGCCACGAGACCCCCACCACTACAAATTTCCACATGTTAAATAAGCTGTAAATCATCAAGCGGGCCAAGAGAGAAATTTTGTGTGTAGTCGAGGGGTTATACTATTGACAAACATATATATATATATATATATATATATATATATATACAAACCAACATTCTACAAGATAAATGAATGTTATTGAAGCATAATTTTGTAAATGATAATGGAACACCAAAACAATCGGAAGACATATATGCTTGATATTGTTTAAGGTGGAGATCAAGTTGAATAAATGTAGTTCTAGCATGAAGAGATTTCATTGTGGGCCCTAATAAAGTAGAAAGACTGAATTTCTTTGGAGAACTTTCAAAATTAATTACTTGAAATAGATGCAATTTTTATTATATTTCAATCAATAAAAAACTTTGAAATTAAATATTTATAGATAGAAATAATATTTTATCATATATATATATATATGAAATATTTTAATAATATAATTAATGTTTTTAATCTTCAAAATGAAATCTTCATCCGACCGTTCTTTTTGCACTTTATGAACAAATGACTGCACGTTGATACAACTTAGAATCAATTTCTATTGTACCCTCTTCAAATTCTACTACATGTTTGTTCGCTTAGCCAAGTCTGCAGTTGCTTGAGAATACCAAATTTCTAAAAACAGAGCAGATTTGCAGATGATTATGATTTGCAGATAATTAGAACTACCAGGAGCCACCAATCTAAACTTACAACCTGCAAGATGAATTCAAACTAATTGAACGATAAAAAAAGAAGCCACCAAAAATAACGTAAAATGTCACCACATGATTATGATTTATGAACGTCAATTCGTGGCAATCGTTCATACATCAGAAGATCTCGGTTAAAAATTCCAGAACGTTGCATATTATGAGCATTGAATGGTAACATACCAAGCATTATATCCAGTTCACACCAAATCTAGATCTAATCTGCTCCAAAGCGACTACAGATCAACGGTTAATACCAAAAAATGACAAAATTAACGAAGCATTCCATTCAAACAACTGAAAGAAAAGGATAGAAAACAGCATTCACAACGATGAAATCAAAGTTCGTTCACTAATCAATATAAAGTATAAAAGAAAAAAGCAAAACAAGCATTGGTATACCTGACGGCGAAAATAATGAGAAATCTAGAAATAGAAGGATGTTCACGAAACGTTTTCGTAAACCTCTCGTATAACTTCAAACTCCTCATTTCTGCTTCAAAATTAACAAAACAAAAGGCTAAGAATTCCAATCTATACTCGTGGCTGCAAGAACAAGAGCAACAACATGAATCAACTAACAGTTCGTCACACACATAATAAAACATGAATTAATCAACATACATAGAATTAGAGATCTTACTTTTCACAGAGAGAGATAGAGAGAGATGAGTTTACCAAGAATATGGGAGGAAACGGCAAGCAAAGGGATATTTGGAAATGGGTTGGCGTGAGGAAAACGCGAAGCTTCTAGAAGAACGATCGTGTTATGACTTGGAAAGCACGGTTTTTTTGGGTTTCCATTTTTTTGGGTACAACTGGATTTCCGTGGTTGCAAAGTTTGAGCCGTTTGTCACGTGGCACGTGCTGATACTTTGAGTTGAAAATTATTATTTCTTAGGTTGACCAAAACCTTTGTCAAAGATGAAAAGCCACATGATTTAAATATGACAAAAAAAAAGGTAGATTAATTGCATCATTTCTGTATTATAAAATGTGTTCACATTCATTAATTTTGTTTGTTTACTTCTTAATAATTTCATAAAAAAAAATCTAAAAAAATTCAATGGACTTTAGTGTTTGAAATGATTAAATCCTTGAACAATTTTTGGAACAAATAAGTCATTGAACATTCCAAAACCTATTACACAACTTCTTGGACTTTCTAAAACATGTTATATACATTCTTATGACCTATAAAACTAAGGGAAAAGTCCAAAAAAACCCAATGGACTTTAGTATTTGAATGATTAAGTCATTGGACAATTTTTTGGAACAAATAAGTCCTTGAACATTCCAAAACCTGTTAAACAGCTTCTTAGACTTTCTAAAACATGTTATCTACATCCTTATGACCTATAAAACTAATTAACGTAATAAAATAATAGAAAAAGAATGAACATTCATATTTTGAGCGATAAAGTCCCTAAACGTTTTTGAATCAAAAAAACACTTACATTATATAAAATAAAACAAATATACCAAAAAAATACTTACATTTAAAAAAGATTATTGATAAAATTTATTTTAATTAAAAATAAAAAATATTATATCAATGGTTGTTCAAATTAAAAAAAAGATCTAAAAAAAATTACTGATT